AGAAGAGAGCAGTGGAAATCTATGGGTCGGTCCTTGGGATGGAAGAGCTCCAACCTAGCTCTAGGGATAAAATTCAGGGGGCAGCGATGAATGAGTGTGACAGACAACTATTCATTTCCCTGCCAGGTAGACTTGATAACCTGCTGTGAGAGGGAGAGAGAATTTTGCTGGGGCTGCTGGCACGCCTAATAAAGGGAACAATTAGGTAACTACAGAGGGCTTGTCGGGTTTGGGGTTGCTTCCATACAGGTTGTCATCAACTTACAATAGTTCATTTAGAGACCATTCAAAGTTACAATGGCACTGAAAAAAGTGACTCCTGACCGTTTTTCACCCTTAAGACTGTTGCAACAGCGTCCCTGTGGTCTCATGAAGAAAAGGTGGATGCTTGGCAGCCGGTTGATGACAGTTCCAGTGTCTCAGTGATCACTTTTTTTTTGCAACCTCCCGACAAGCAAAATCCATGGGGAAGCCAGAGTCACTTAACAACCATGTGCCTAACTTAACAGCTGCCACGAATCACTTCACAAATGTGGCAATAAAGGCTGTAAAATGGGGCAAAGTTCACTTAACTAATGTCTCACTTAGCAACAGAAAATGTTGGCTCAACTGAGGTCATAAATCGAGGATTACCTGTATAGCTAGGTTCTAGATTAAAAGATCTCTTGTAATCGAATCGATGGAGGAAACACACATTCCTTAACTTAACAAATGGAGGAGACAGAGGAAATAATAATCTAAAAACTATTCCTATGCCTGTGCCCTGCAGACTTGAAATTTTGTGATGTCTTTTGACACAGAAGCTAAGGGTCAATCTATTCAACTGATGTCTGAAGCAAAGCACCAGACAGGGGAAGTGTATGAATAGACAGTGAGTGCATCCAAATGTTCTCCTAACCTGGTTCCAGAGTCACATGACTAATAATCCAACCATAACACTTCTACTTTTCCCATCAGCATATGGGATTGGGATGAAGCTGACTTCCGGACCTCCAGATTGCCCTCAAGCGCTGTTGTGTGAGATTATAAGGGAATTTTGCACCAAAATGAATCCTCTGGAGGGCCTACCAAACTTCCGTGCCGTATAAAATGAACTCCTTTCTAATGAGCAAGCACTACCTATTCTTGGAATAGGTTTTCAGATGGTTGCCATGCTACCTCAGTCTCTCCTGGATACGGTTACTGGGAAACATTTCAATCAATCGCCAAAACGCCCAGAGAAAGATAGGGGTCTACAGCCTTGCTACTTCTCCAGAACTTTTCAGCAGCATCGATCATGGTGTCTTTCTGAACAAGCTGTCTGGAATGAGAACAGTGGGTCCTTCATGTTGTAGTTCAGGGATAAAGCCCATGGCTGTCATGAAGAGATTTCCCAGTTCAATTTCTGGCACCTCCAAAATAGGACTTTTGTCTCAAACATGAGAGATCTGATGGCAAATGCATTACCATTACTGTGCTAGAAAAGCTAATGATCTGCTTTGTTTAAAGCTCTGTATGCTCTGTATGTCCATGTCCGTTGAAGTCTCCTGGCTCCATTGTCCCTTGATGGCTGGGCACAATGTAAGTACTAAAGGACTGTCACTGGGCATCAACAGTTATGGCATAAAGTAGTTCGTTATTGTGCCATCATCTTAAAGACACAGGTGAGCCAAGATGAAAAAGGGTCTTTGACTTAAGGATTTTATCTTGGATCAATTAAAAAAAAATACTTTCTACCTAAGGCCCAGGGACAGGAGGTTTGTTCTCCCACAACATATCTTTTTTCTCTTGCTTGCATAGCTTTGTATTGGATTTGTGAGATCCTGATGACAGAAATACAAATTTTAAAGAATTGATCCACTTTCCCCCCAGTTTATTAGGCACCTGTTATTCCACAAGGTGTCATTCCTGACATACTGCTGCTTGCCAGCCAGGGGATAAAAATATGTATATTTTTCCACGCTTTGCCATTCAAGATATTTCAGCACATGCTTCCGCCATTACATCAGGTGGACATTTTTAAAAAAAAAAATAGGAAAGAAAGTTGGTGCCTTAATCTCTGCCTTCTCCCCCTCCTCCTCCCTGGGGAATATTTTAATGAGACTTATGCAGCTGTACTATCTCAGAGTAAACATTAACAACACTAATTGCTTAAAGTTTAGCCTTTGATTTCTCTGTCAGGCACACCTCTGAGACTCGCTGCTTTTTCGAGGGCTTGGATCAGCTACCCAAATTTTGAAATGCAAGAGCTGGCTTGTGGAAAAACTCCGGCCACGTTAGCATGGAAAGCAGGCCTTTTCTTCTGAAAGAGAGTATTCTGACTTTTGTCTGAGCTATTCTGACTTTTGTCTGACCTCTGGTGGTGGGGGGAATAAAAGGTTGCGAATTGCCCAAATCTATGGAGGAAATTGTGTTGCCAGGCACCTTCACACTTTGGCTTAAGAAGGCCTGAATGAAACAAGCATGAGGGAAGCGAAGGCTCGGAAGGAATTAATTCTGCCAGAGAACTGCAGCTGTTAAATCCTAAGCTTTGGATTCAGCTGGGAGATGCAAAGAAACAACATGGGCATGGAGGCGCACACACCTATCTGCCTTGCTGGATTAATTCCAGGGCCTCTTTCTTATGCACCATAAGCACATCCCTTCTGTAATGGAAAGTCGCTACAGAATGGGAAATTGAACGGCTTTGCTGCCTGAGCTGGTCAGAGCCAAGGAAGCCCCCATCACAGGTGCTTAGTCTTGGAAATGGAAAACAGCATGCTACAGAAGTCAGCTTGCATCATGGGTTATGGCTGAGCTATTCTATTTCTCTGCCTGGGCATTTTCTCCACATTGTCTGTCGCCATTACAAGATCCAATACGAAAAGAGCACACTATAACCTGTCTTTCATCTGGCTGTTTGTTTTTCATCCATTAAAAAGGAACCTCTTGTTATACAGACCCTTTTTTCTTAGCAAGCTGGGCCGCTGTGTCCCTTTGCTATGATCACTGGCAAGGCGAGATTTCATACGGCGTGTTTAAATTACTCATTCACCGAAGGGGATTTTGACATTTTCTCTTTTTGTTGGAAGAGAAAAATCAAGATGAAAATAACCCTGCCAGTTGCCAATCTCTCCCCTTCTCCCTGGCACAAACAACACACGGAGGTACTAAATCAAAGACCTTTTCTAAATAATAAATTCTATGAATATCACCATAATTGCATCTTGCATCTCTCTGGGGATGCCATACTTTCTCCAGTTGCTCCTTTTTCATTATGAGGACATAATTTTGTGATGACTTTTCTTAGAAGCAACACTTTTACTAATTGGAACATTGGTTATTTCACTGATAAACTACAGGAGGAGCATCTTAAACATGCATTTGAACTATGCTTATGTTTTCTATCCTGGATCAGTTTCTCTGGAAGAACTTGTGCATGCACACGGGTGGGTGGGTTTTGTGCCACTACTATTGCACATTCAGAGTTTTAGGTTGTTATCTGTTCTGAAAAATAATTTGATGATTGGCTTTAAGGTCATTATTAGTAATTACTTCACTAAATAAAGCAGATTTAGCAGGTCTCAAATTCAATTTATAATCCTGCTCTCACCCAGAACAAAGAAAGAAAAGCAACCCCATCAATTTGATTAGACTGACCTACAGGATTTACTTCCCTTGAAAAAGCATTGAATGTTTACCATTAAATATCTAAAACTGCACCTCCCTCAAGATACCTTACATCTAAGAACCAATTCTCACAAAGCAGAGCTTTTTCATGTGTAGAAGCAGCAGTTTAAATCCAAGTCCAGCAAAGCTGGTTAAACAAATGCAAACATTTTAATCCCAAATTCTGTGCTTGTTTGTGAAAGATGTTCTCTCAGGACTTTAAAAAAAATGAATGGACATTCAGTTCTGCAAATGGCTTTGACCTTGTATGACCAGCTTACACAAGACCATTGTGATATATTGGCAAAGCACTGTAGCATTGTAATTCTGAAATGCTGGTCTAAGAGCCAATAACGTTGTTCATAGTCTAAGCACTTCATATTCTGGCTTGAATTGACTGTAGTCCTATTAAAATCAATGGAGTTCACACATGAGTGTATTTGGAGTATCACAACCCTAATTTTGGCATGCTAACTGTGCCTGGGCTTTTAATAGATAATAATAATTTATGTGTTCTGCTTGCTGTGCTTCCACTAAAGACTCAAGCAGCTTTAGGAGACAAAGTATGTATAACAACACATGATCTTATCATCCAACTCTAGTCATAATTTTGAAATAATCTTATCATTTTATAAACATACTCAGAATGAAACTGCAAAATGTATACTTTCCCTGGGAAAATTTACAACTGAAATCAACCTAATATAAAGGTGTTTAACCTTAGATGGGATGTGTCCTCATTTCTGAAGTGGGGAAATTATTGCACTTTCAAAATGTATTTTATGTTGTATATTATAGGTTGGAGTTGCTAGCAATTCTTTCTGCTTTAACTAGCTATTCTTTTTTATGATTTCAGTTTCAGCCTGACTCAACACCTTGTTAATCTACATTTGTGTATCATATACTGTTGAATGATTTTCTTAGCCATCTAGCAATCTTCTTTTTTAAGCCTTAGGGTTGGAACCATTATGGACAGGGTCAGGTGTCTGTACCCCCTTCCCCCCCTTTATCCACCATGCAAGCACAGAAAATGAAAACTAAAATGGTCATAGAGGGCCCCCC